TTTAAAATTCAATCCACAAAAAAAATTCAAAACCCAATAACCCCAAAATAACGTAACCCATCAACCAATTGGCATAACGGTTGAAATTAACTCCAAAACCAATATTTTCAAACAATGAATTTGCGTGTGTAAATTCTAAAACGTAAAATTTTCAAGTTTGGACTCACAGCTGGAGGGCTTCAAGGAACTTGTCGTGGTCGGGATCAGTCCAGCTCTCCCACGACTTGGTAATGGTGTAGGGCCTTCGGGCCTTCTTATTCGGGTCGTCGGTCCAGTTGGAGGTTGAAGCTCCGGCTGTAGGAGAAAACGACTCGAGATTCGGGAAAGTCATACCCGTCGGATAGGATACAATGGATTTTAACACGGAGAGAGGGAGGAGGGATGGAAAAATACCATTCAGTTCCTTCGACAGGCAGTGGATGGAGGAATCGACAGGGCAGCGGTAGAAGGCGCCTGAAGTGGTTGGGCTTCAGCGACTTGGAGTTGCTAGCACATAGGTCTGTGAATTTCTTGTAGTTTGGTTGGAGAGCAGCGGTAGAAGGCGGCCGGAGTGGTTGGGCTTCAGCGACTTGGAGTTGCCAGCACCTAGGTCTGTGAATTTCTTGTAGTTTGGTTGGAGAGGACGAAGGCAGAGAATCGTTGATTGTCGAGAGAAGAGAGAAGAGAGAGAGAGAGCAAGGGTTAGGAGGAGAGAAAATAGGAAAATATCTAACCAGCTAGGCTCAAAAACGGTTCGGCTCGAAAATGGCGGCTTGCTTGGCCGTTCAGCTTGTGAATAGTGTCTTTAAAGATGAGTCTTTTAGATATAGTGGATACTATGCTTTGCACTTGCTATCACCTTGGCCACTAAACTTTAGCCCGGTTTGACAACCATTACTTTCTAACACTTTTTTTTTAGATGCACATTTTCAAACACATATTCACACAATAAAATATTATGCACATTAATCCAAAATTTTTCTTACTTTTTAACCACAAATTCTTCTAAAAATCACTATTGAAAATTCTATTTTTCTCAAAGAATGATTGTCAAAAGGAGACTTAATTTGATACAGGCCCGTGACATAACTTTATAAAGTGCGTCCGTCAAGCTACCCAGTTAATCAGATTGAGCTATTGTTTGGCCCCCATTATTTTCAAAATACATTTTTCTCGCTCTCTCTCTCTTATTTTCAATTACACATTATTCAATAAAATAATATTACATGCAAATCCAAAACTTTTTCTTATCGTTGAACCACACACTCTTATCAAAATATTATTCAAAAAATGAATTTTAAACAAAAGATGAAGCTCAAACATGCTCTAAATAGCCAATCGAGAACACTAGGCAGCTGTTGGAAGAGGATTTCTAAAATAGAGATTCTTGATTGGTTTCATTTGTATAGTGGTCTCACCTACACAAGATTTACATTTTGTTGAGTCACATATTTTAATCGAGAATTCGATGTTAAATAGTAGATGGGAGGCCTGACTCACATGTCTCATAGAGTTCGATGACAAATCTGAAAGACTTCGAGCTCTTTAAATTTAACAACACTAGCCAAGGTGACAATAAACCCCTGGCCTTTAAACTTAAAAAGTTATGTTTTGAATAATAATTTTTGAAGAATTTGTGGTTAAAAAGTAGGAAAAATTTTGGGTTTATATGTATGAATATTTTATTGTGTTGATATGTGGTTGAAAATAAATATAAAAAATAAATTAAAGTAAAGGCCACCAGATAGGAGCTAATTATAGAATATAATGGGCATTGTAAGAGTATGTTTGGTTTT